TGTTCGCTGTTGCGTTGATTATCGGTCCGCCGTTCGGGATTGGCCCTTAGCCTCATGCACCCGATGAAACAAGCGGCATGTGGACGGGACAGCACGTTTTTGGCTGGTGGCTGCCCAGCTGGGGCGGGTGGTGGTTGTCCAATGTTGCACGAAGACTTCTGTTTGTCGGGAGAAAGCCCGAGGTATCGAGCTCGTACGTCCATCTAGCGGTAAATTTTTGATTGGTAAAGTGCCCCTTACCGTGTTTATTTATTGGAGTTACTTGTGCATGCTTGTGTGTGTGTGTGTGTGTGTGTGTGTGTGTGTAGATGGAACAAGGAAACCCGCAGGTGCCCGAGCAAATGGCCTTGTGAGACTGATTTTCGTTTGGCTTCTTCTTGTTGACGTTTCAGGAGAAGAGCAATCCTGTATAGCTCGCAGGGTCATGGATGCACGCAAGCCATTACACCACGCCAGGGTGCAGTCTCGTCGTGATGGTCCGTGATCCATATAGGGCGAAGGTCTGGTGCATCATCCGCTCACCGGACCATCCCCGATTGGCATGTCAGAAACCCTTGGGGTTTCGCCTTACTCCGGAAGAAAGAACCCTCTTTTTATGGTTCACGTAATTCTCTTCCTCATCGGCTTGGTAACACCCTGTGTTTTGGGGGTCTTAGAAACGCCAGCTTCTCTGGGATCCCGGAACGTGTGATTCACACGAAGAGCGTATAATCCGACTTTTTGTCCACTTGCCCCAAGGGACTGCAGTTTTCATTTCCCAACCGGCTGCCTTGCGGTTCACCGAAGCTCCCCTCCCTTGAGAAAATCGCCCACTTTGGCTGAGGCACCTTGGCCATATCGCTTCCAGGAACAAATCGTGAATAATCACAAACTTTCCCTTAATACATTGTATTCATCAGATCCATCTTTCTTGATGCAGCTTACATACATGTTTGTTTTCATGTCCATGTCGTCTTGCCCATCAAATAGGTTAAACTGCTACAGGAAGAATATCGTTGACGATCATTCAAAGTTGGTTAACTGAATTATACCTTGGCACTGAATTAATTACCACATTCTTTCGGAGCTGCGGGAGTGGGCAGGGAGTGGTTTGTTTAGAAAGGGCTAGGGACAAGTGGAACGGGCACCGAAGTGGTTAAGTACCGGAAAACAGCAATCTAGGAATGAAAGTTACTGGTGTTTGGATAATGCTAAATGGAGGCATGGTTTGCCTACATTTCTAATCATCTTCAGCCTTCGATCAATTCTTTCTGTTCTTTGTAATCTGTTCCCCCCATTGCGTCCCCAGCTATCCCTCTTGTTGTTGCTTTGGTATCATGCTTATTCCCAAGCCGATGTAATATCCTCCAGTCATGCAAATTAAAAAAATTACAGTTTTAGTTTGAAAATAATGTTTCTTTCTAAAATAAGTCCGTCTGTGACCCGTTTCTGGATTTCAGAAAGGTGGCCAATCGTGCGACGGTTGAGCTACAAAACAAAACCGGGACGCTCGCAGTCGGCTAATCGATGGATCGTCCCCTATTGGCGAGCAGCAATAGACTAAAACTTTCTGTCCGCATTTTGATTATCTATCAGCATTGACAAACCGATTCTTTTTGAGGTTAAGAGCAAATGCAGGGTGATGAATTTTCCAAGTTACAACTATTTCCGGAAACTGCTGATTTCACTTAGTTGTTTCCAGCACTGTCACGCGGACAGCATGTATGCATTGATGCTTGTTCTCAAATGTGTCATTTGTTTCTGTTCCCCATCGTTCATTCTTGATCTAGTTATTATCGCGCTCCCGAGGTAATTTTGGGCATGGACTATGCGGAAAAAGTCGATGTCTGGGCATTAGGTTGTATCTTTGCCGAGATGGTTCTGGCACGAATCATGTTTCCCGGAAAGAATTACGTCGATCAGTGGGTCACAATCACTGAGACTCTGGGCACACCAGATAAATCGTTCATGGACCGCCTTGAATCGAGTGTGCGACGCTATGTCATGGGTCGTCCGCATTGTCCACCAAAATCATTTGAGAGACTATTCCCAGACAATAAATTTCCACCCCCAAGTCCAGTAAGTTATTCGTCGTTCCATTTTCCCATCACTTAAAATGATCCATCTTCCTCTATTTTTCGACCATAGCTGATCTTTGTTAATCTGACAAGAGGCAAAAAGAAAATCTGAATGACTGACGTAATCGTGGTCTCGTAAATCTGGTCACCATATAAAAGAAACGATTCATCAATGGAATATTAGGCTATATGAGTCAGCTGCCTTCTATGACCACCTCACCCTTTTGTTCTCTTTCTCTGATAGTAGTGATATATTACTATTTACTTTTTCATGCATTGAATAACTATCATGCAATCAGATCTCAGGAGCGGAGCTGTGAAACATCAAAGACTCTTTAGGGGAATATAGAAATAGGAAATATGGGTTACAGCAGCCACTTCCCAACCTCTATTGTAAAGACTTTTACCACTGTGACTGTCTTTCTCTTTCATTTTCTCTAACGAGTTTTGAATCGATCCCAGCGTCCTCATGCACATTGTTTGCATGGTATATAAAAGGAAGCAAAAATAAGTTACTATTAGCGCAGTGAGGCCCTATTCACACAAACTGGGGATAGTGTGCCCACTTGCAGAATATTACTGGTTATCACCGTATTCAGTCCTGAACAAGACATCCGGAAGCCGAACGGTAGATTCATTATTGTGGGAACGAAAGATGCGAACAGACCGTTACACTATTTGATGACTGGTTCGGAAACTTTCATGAAACCGTGAATTGACTATTTCAAATCACGTGTGTTGTTCTGTGCAACCCGATTTATCCTCTGCCCGTGTTCTTTTATTAAAGAACTCAGTTCTGTGCAGGCCCTGTGGACTTATAACAGTAGTAGTAGTAGCAGCAGCCTCAGAAATATTCTGTACAGTTTTTTCTTCTGTCAATGGAAAGTTGATAATGATTCATCCGCATTACCAATCGACTTTATTCCTCGGTTTTTCGCGATACAGTATCTGGTTTACAAAAAAAACAATTCAACGATAGCTACATTTTTTTGCTGGAAGTAGGTCTAAAATTTTCCACCCTGGATAAACTTTCCCGGCGAAACTTTTCCGATAGAAATCCTGTTTTCAACGACCACTAGAACGAACTCTCCTTATTAGCCATATGATATTGACTGGTTTATCGAAGGCTGATGAATATTTGTAGTTTAGATAAGGGGAACGATTGTGAAGGACGTACACCCCCAAAACCGTACGTATAGCCAGGTTGTCACGTTTGTTCGGTGAGTCAGACGTGAGTGCCAAAACCAATATCGCCCATGCAGTACTCCTGATACACAGAGCTAACTCGTGTCATTTCAACTAGTAGTTACAAAATAAAAATTAATGATTTTACTCATTTGATTATAGAAATGTACAGTAAACTTTCAGGAAGGAAGCCGTGGTCATGCAAAAGCTGCCTAGGGAAATACAGAAAATAGGAAGATGGGTAGCGGTGGCAGGGTTCAAACTCGAGATGGCTGTTCTGCCAATCTGAGCGCTTGTACACCACTAGCTCAGTTGTATGTCCTAGCCCAAATCGGACGGCATCGTACAGTAATGCTAGGTCGAGTGAAGCCACGATTTAATCAATTTGGCTTCCGCTGTTGTTACCATTTGACGCTCTTCACGGTGCTACTGTTACCGAAAAATGCGACCCCTTTTGTTCCTTCGATATTTTTTCAAAATTATAGAACCATGAGTCACTCAATGCTGAACAAGCCAGAGATTTGGTCAGACGGATGTTGGTCATCGATCCAGATTACCGGATATCTGTAGAGGAAGCCCTACAACATCCGTATGTCAACCTCTGGTATGATGAATCAGAAGTGCGCGGGGTGAGTTGCTCTATTTTCCGGGCAGTTTGCTCGATTGCCATTTTCTCACACCCATATATTGGATTTTAATCTCACTTTGGTTGGGAAACACCGCTACATGAGGGCACTGAGTAGGGCCTCGTCCTCAGCAGAGGCTTTTGGACACGCTTGGTCGTACAGGACCACTTACCATGTCGCGATGGAAGAGTGACTTGTCACAACCCAAGACATCCACCCCGACTTTGCTGAGTTTTACTATGTATATTTCGCTTGATATTGAATAGAAGTGTGCTAGAAAGATTTGCTCCTATCTTCTCGGTCTTCTGTGTTGCATTCCCTACCGTGTTCCTGGATTTTCAGTTCTCTGTTTCCATTCCGTCACTGATCAGATCTATCATTTTCACAGTGTCATTTTTTCTTATGCGCTGCTAATCTGGTTAAGACTGATTCAAAGTAGTGAGTAGCTATTTCACCTTAATAAGAACTGTTCAGCCATACACACTGTCCGTGTTCTCATCGGAACTCGAAACGTGAATCTCCGATTTGTTAGCTCTAGGACTTCCAAGCTACACAGCTGACAGTCATCACTTGGAGCGTAAAGTTACATCAGTTTATCAAAGCTATTGTCCAGGTATTTTAAAATTATCATATTTTCTTCCACGTATTCGCATATCTTCATATTTTGTGATTCTTCATTCTGTTATTATTGTTTGTTATTCCGGTGAATGTTGGTGGTTATTTCTGTTTGAATTTTGAAAAGATCTGCTGCCTCCATGGGATTAGAACTCCTGCCTAGGCTCGGTCCACAGTTTTGTACAGCGTACCCCCCCCCCCCCTATTAAACGTGCTAAGAGGCCGCATCAACAGCTCTCTGATCTCTGCATTGGATCATCCAGCTAGATTCTACCCCGGTATGATTTCCCAGATCTGTTGATGTGGTCATGCTGATCGGTAGATAGCGCCTAAGCTGTATAAAAGCGTACACTGCATCCGTGTGTGGGTTGGAATGCTGCCGAGGTTACTGATCTTTCCACAGTTCAAACACAATGAATTGAATAGTTCATATTTATTGTCCTTTTAATGTTATTTGTGATCTTGGGGTAAAAGAAACTATTATCCTTGAACAGAGAAAGCTGGAAACATAGGGTTCATAAGTTATTTCATTGTAATACGTAAACGAAATAAGATTCAAGGTGGTAAGCTATCACATCAGAACTCTTTTTACATTTTTATAATTTTCAGCCTCCATGTGGTCAGTACGATGTCAATCTATACGAACGCGATCTGACGATTGAGGAATACAGGCGTTGCATCTTTGAAGAAATTCAACAGTTCCAGCCTGTTTGTGATATGGAGTAAAGTATACATCGTGCCAACGAATTCCGGAATTTTCGCCTTCAATTCAGTGCTTCACTGTGACTCCTCATATTATCTCATTTGCCAAAATAACAATCCTCGTCTAATGTGGTTACTGCCCATGAATTTGCTCAGCTTCCTCACCTTGGCAGGGGTGTAAACCATTAACACGAGTCACATGTATGAGTCATACAACCTTTTGCCACTGCCTTTAGATTCAAGCAAGTATACGAAACGCCGGGTTTTCGCGCAACCACTACTAACGTTCCACTTACGCACACACACGCACAGCACCTCACTCGCGTTCATTACGACTTCCCATTACCAGAACACAATTTTGTCTGTCCCTTCTGTGCGACAGACAGCGGTTGTTCAATACCAGTGCTTCGGGTCTAAATTACGGCCCAAGTTTTGACTGTTACAAAAATAGATACCATGATTTTAGGGTTTCTAGGTTATGCTGATCCCTATGTTCCGTTTTTTCCTCCATCAACAACGCACTTGTGATGCCTTCACGTATCCAATTTGGTTAGGCTCTCTGTGCCGCTTTCCCCTCACGTTGTTATTGCGTACACAGACACTCCTAACTTTTCCACTGCTTTCTGTCGCCTCATGATCTCCCGGTACACTGCGAGTCCGTTGCTAAATGAGAAATCTTGACGTCTCTTTTGCACTCTCCCCTCATTGTTCAATCCTTCATGCACATATGCTAGCTAGTCCCTCACACAGACACACCCACATGTGCAGGCTCACCCCATATAAACTCACTGTCGCCTTCGAGCGTTTGTTATCGATGAGTTGAGTGACTTGCGCCTTCCCATCGACTCCCTTATCCTTCCGCCTTTCTCCTTGTTCGCACTGTTAATTGTAACCGTGTGCTATGTGAA